TTTGAAACTACGAGGCAAAACTACAGAAAAGCACCGGCCCCCGCTACAGCAGACGGCGTGCCTCCATTGAACTTTTCGCTCGAACAAGAATGCCTTCCGGAGTTGCCTGCGCGTCACCACTGCGGGAAAGGGAAGCCTGGCATCAGTAGGTAAACTGCATACAGTAACGATTGTAAAGCGAAGCACGATCAGAATCACCACAGGGCTTCACACTGGTCTTCCCTTCCCAACAGGAATCTCTGCTGGCTAGACTCCCCTTCTCTGCTATAGAGATTGGGATGGTGAGTGGGCGTTTCACAGCCGCCCACCAAGATGACGGATCTTGAGGCTTCGTCAGAACGTCTCCTAATTGCTGCTCACTGGGTATCCAAGCCAGCGGTAGTTTTGGACTCCATTTCTCAAGCTTGAGTGCTTGGCGAAGGGCCGCGAGGTCTATAGCCAAGCGACGGTCTGCTGGGGTCCTCGGAACTCCTTCTTTGTGGATGTGATCAAACAAAGAGCGGCAATCGCTCAGACAGACGATCGGGTACGTCGCTTTGTCCACGCTAATCATCTCGCCTGTGTAGATGGTCTCGTAGATAGACCTCATGAACTGCCCTCCTTCTAGTGCCTCCACACAAGCCTGGGTCTCGGCACTGAATGTGCTGCGGCAAACTCGCTGTCCTGCGCGCGACTTCCAGTCCAAAACGGAGCTCTGTCCTGTCCCGCCGGTGATGGCGTCGATGTTGGCGATCATCACGAGTTCGCCCAACTGCGAGGCCACCCGAGAGTTGCCCCGCTTGGCTTTCCTCCCGGATCTATGGGAAGGAGGTCCGTGGTGTTGTAGTCCGTTGGCTTTGTCCTCCTCGTAGAGCTCGAAGCCGTCCTCGTCATACTCCCCCTCGTAGGCGTTGGCCCAGCCCGCGTCGTGGTAGACCAAGAAAACGATCTTGTCTTCTTCGATTCCCCGAAACACCAGGCCTTCCTCCTTGTAGTTGGTCGCTTTCATCGAAATAGAATTCGTGAATTTGACATCGCCGTAGGTGGGGCATTTCTGAAGCTGCTGCGCCATCGAGACTGAGCACGTGATGTCCGGCCTCGTCTGTGCAGATACCCAGCTAAGGGCACCTATTAGGCTGCGGTTGTCCGCGATGCAGTTGGCGTCGGCAAGGTCGTCATCGGCGACGTTCTTGGGGATGTCGACGGTGAACAACCGGTCCTCGATATAGGGCTTCTGGTGGAGCATAACCTTGTCCCCGTCGCACTTGATCTCAGAGCCCAAGTAGGTGAACTCGTCTTCTTCCCAAGACTCCACCGGAAACACCTTTGAGAGCTCCTCCCGGATACGTAGGCTCACACTCATGGACGCGATGACCAAGAGGTCGTCCACATGGCTGGCCACGTAGCCAACCGGCTTACCGTGCATCTTTCCATTGACAACACGGCGAAGAGGGAACACACAAGGATCCAGGGGGCATTGGTCGAAGATGTACTGCTCACCCTCGATCTCCAGGAGGATGCCTTTTATGCCATTCTGCAAATCTAACCACCATTCGTGAGGACTGGTAGCCAGCCCGAAGATGTTCTTTTTTACCCGAACCAGCTGCTTAGGGTGCAGCCCGGCGAAGCCTGTAGTCGGCTGATGAAGATACAATTCTTCATCCCTTTTCAAGTAGCCTCCAGTCAAAAAGGCGCAACGAATGTCTCCCGCTGAGGCGCACCAACGGTCTTCATGACGTAGTCCATTAGCCAGGCGTTGCAGTAGACAAAGAAGTCCTGGTCGCGACAATGTAGGAGCATCCGTAGACAACCCTCGAGACAAGTCGGGGTCTGTGTGCCCAGCAATGACCA